ATAACTAGATGCAATTTGGAAAATGTGGTTGAAAAATATCACAAAAAGTGACATGAGCCAAATTATATAAATCTTGATGAAATGTACTCGTAGTTGAACAGCCCAATCATACACTTTAAAGGATATACTATTATGTAAAACTTTATCTTGTTTGATATTTTCTACATAGAGCCATCTGCAAGCGCATGAAAAATGAATTAAACTGCAATGTCTTCAATGTTATTCATACTAGATTTGTAGTATTCACAGTATTTTCTTATTATGTTTTATGTAAACGAAAGAATAATTATAAATTTGTCATTTAACTCAACTTATTTCAACATAATAACTCCACCTGGCGCACAACATTTGTGTGTACTCTATACCTGTGTAAAATATGCGGTACTAGCTTATCAAATGTCCGTGTTTGACTGAAAGTTGGAAGAACCAGCTCGCACTGTCCAAATGCTCTCATATGACCACACGTATGTAGCCACTGCCAGAGAAATCCAACACATTACTTTCTCGAGGCTTGTATGTTGTTTACGAAATCGGGAGGACGAAAACAGAGTGTTATGCACTTTAACACGGTTGGTGGATATGGAGTGTCGACCTAAGAGAGTTAGAAATTCCTGATTCCAATACTAGCTTACTAAACGCATTTCGAATATATGATGATCAATTGACATTTATTACACTTACCTTAAAACATAAAGAATCCATTCACGTTTGTTAAGATATTCAATGGAATCATCTCTAAAACATGATTAACAAACATCTAAATTATTAGTAAGTGACATACATTGCGAACACTAATGCTGTCATCAACATTGATAGAAACACTTGAAGGATATTGGTTAAGAACACCTACATTCTGAAATGAAAATTTTCAACTGATTTCTACTTTCAATATTAATCGAGTGCGTACTGGATCAACCATTCCAGATAACGTGGAATCGTTACAGATTACCACTTGATTATTATATTTGATTCCGTCATTGTATGCATGTGATTCTGATAAGAGAGAATGAGATATAGGATTACTACTAAGCAATTGATTATATAAAGCAATCTGACTTGACTGACACTGTTATGATTAGTGAATATTGTGAACAAAGTTGTTAATGAAACATTCATCATGTTTGACCAAAGCAAAGACAATTGACGTGGTAGAGATAAAATGAATCTACTATAGTTCGGTGTTTCTCAACAGTTGCTTCCAACATCAGCACCATAAAATCAATCAATAAAACTCGGTCTACATACTTTATATTGGAAGAGTTCTCCTCAATGGGAATTAATGAAAAGATTGAGAAGTATGAGAGAACGATATATTCGATATATTTGTACATGAAATCAATCGAACATTTTTAGGTTGAATATCTGAACATTCTAGGAGTTTATTCAACAGAATAATTTCGAAATAGGAGAATAGTCGACTCAATAAGTCACATTTATGATTGTATTTCTGGTAGCAATAAATAGTATATCAAATTGTGTTATGTAGCTCAATATTCACGTTTATTTCCATTTCAAATTCTGATCTCCTACCAAACAACTAAAACGAATAACTGGGGTATAATTAATGCACGATCTTCGAGCGACATTAAAGTGTTCGTTCGATCAATTATCGAAATGTGATTATATCATTCAATTAGTTTAATTTGATCATTCCCAACAATTTTAATCAAAAATTTATTAATGTAAATACAAACCTTCATTTAGATGTGTGTGCAACATCAGTTGTGTTCACAAGCAGTGCTCGTTAAAGCTGATCAACTCAACCGACGTTATTTTATAATTTCGGTGCAAATGAAAACGATCAGTGACCATTAAATACAGTATAAAGAACAATACGACTTTTGATCTGATCATAGTTCAAATTAGGTAGTGTATACTAGCCTGATCCACTTAACAATTATATAGTTCAATAAATGAGACAGTGATTATCGATATGAGAGAACATCCAATTAACATTCTACACGATATAAATTGGTTAGATGTTAATTATCAAACAGATTACGATTGATGTACTGAGAGTGATTTGGATATACATCTCAGTTGCGAATGTTCAACTTGAAATACACACAGTAATCCACACATGAGTGCTAACTGAACAGACCAGTTCTGTATGATCTTCAAGTTACTGAATATATTACTCGTGTTATTTATCAGTAGATTCAAAAGAATATCATCATCCGATGAAATTATGTATAGACGTCATCAATAATTAACATGGTAACAATAATACTACACACTATTTATGCCACTTAACCTATACTTCAAGATTTCAAAGTCACTTTTCAAGATAGAAAGATCATCGGCTTTTCTACTGATCACATCAAAATGATTGATTATTTATGGTTGTGAAGCATTCCAAGTTAACACATGTGGTGAGACTATAATCTATAGATGAACCAATGAGATTTAGGATAAGACGTGTTGTATTTTGACGCGTACCTCATTCATCCATTTGGCAAAATGGAGTTCTTGCATTTTGCTGATGTCTGTTCGTGATGAAAATCCTCAATCTAATTCCTAATTTGAACCATCAACTGTAAATCGAAATTCTAATACCTCACACTGGCTTATAGAACACATCTCTCACTAGTCAATAGTTGAACATTGGCAAGGTCACTTCAGCATCGCTTGATGTTCGTCCATAAATAAAATCTCACCACATACACTTCACTTTAATTTTCTGATTATGTTAGCTGAAATGTTTCTGTCATACAATTAGATATGCAAAGTTTTTTCTCAAAGCAATTATTCATCATTATAATTATTCTTACTCTAACTTGTTTACAAAGTGAATATTTAGTGCTTGGCTCTGTTGCATGACTTTTGAGTGAGTTCTAGTGAGATCAGCCTGTTACTCAACGTGAACTGGGTAAAATGTGATTTGAATTTGAGATCGAATGTTTGAAATCTAGATGTTGATCAACAAGCAAACTGCTCTATAATATTCGTAAAACCGTATGACATTTAAATATAGTAGACGAAATGTCGTGTTTAGTGTAGGCTTTGTGTTAGTTCGTGCTTGTTAATTAGACGTACTTAGAATATTGAGAGTATCGATGCTACCCATGAGATTTGAAACCACATCAGCGTGCCAACTGACGTGAAATCTAAGTTCAAAATTTTCTCTGACCATCTTCTATTAATTAGCATACCAACACAGTGCACGAAATGTCTAGCGGTTTAGACTGTTGGTCAAATTGTAACGTGATATATAGAATTTAATCAGTACTATAAAATGACTAGACAAATGTGGTATTGACCACCATAGAATAGTTAACCAACTAAAATCATCAAAGTTGAGTATAACAACAGTAGTAGTTGATTTCAATCTTAGTTTTTTAATCAATGAAGTTGGACATTCAAATGACAATGAAAAATTCTAATTTTATCTGCCAAAGTTGAATAAAATAAAAACAAATAAGAAGGTTCATTCATAGTTACGTAAGTAGGTGTTGTCAAATACATTGAATTTTTAATTAATGTTTGGCAAGACGTTTCATAACTAATGAGTCACTATGTTGTTCATTCTTATGCTCATCCACACTATATATGTATATATATACCATGAATTATACATGATTATATCAAAAATCTTGAATATCAAATGATCCTTAATTCACTTGGTATTGTTTGGCTTGTATCTTCCCATTGAGGTTTAAGACTGCCATTGATCAGTCTGTTATTGGCATATGTGCATACTGTGCGTATGCCTCGATATTACCTTAATTCACAAGCTATTTGTAAGCAATGATGGATAGTGGCTAGCAGTGGAATCCAGTTTGACGCGCGTTTCGTCCTACTTGGGACTCAGTATGAGAATGTTGATTAAATGATTGTAAATCTTAACAAACTTAAAAACCACATAAAATGTTAAAAACACTTAAGTTCCATTAAATTTTCATCTATTACTTCTTGATATAATGAGTGTTTGTGTTGAAAAGCAAATGAAGGAAATAAGAACTACATAGTTGTTTCAATATTGATAATGGTCGGTAATATAGATTAGTTTTACTCACTCCTTTATTCTTCATTTAGGAATCATACATACAGCAATTAGAGACTTTGTAGATTTATATAAAGGAATATGCATCTTTTTATTATCACTGAGTCGACATTCGAATCGGGATCTAAATTGAAGAACAACAGGAGAATATTCATACGTTGGTTAAGTTTTTCTTCTAAATAGTGTGAACGTCATTAAAGAATCACAAATTTGTTTAAGTACTGCAATGTATCACTTTCTTTTATTATAAATAACTCTATCGATCTGTAAGGATTAGGAAACAGTTAACAGATCAAGAGGAGATAATAAAATCACATCCTAAGTACAAACGTGTGTAAGAATTGAACGTTAATTTATTTAGAAATTCTATAATGTTAAAATTGAGAATAATTAATGTTGACAGATATGAAACTTTATCACATTTATATGTAACACGTTTGTATTATGCGACTGAAGTATACATAAGCTCGTTTAGTAATATGTAGTATAGATCATTTTATATTGAACTTCACACAACTTATCTAGTAATCACTAGTCAACAGGTCAATAAATCTGTGAACTATTCAACTGGAGAGATGGATAAGTGACTTTGTATAGGTACATGGATTTGACTTGAGATAAAATACTTAATCACTCTCTACAACTGTCTATTACACCCTACAAGCGATAACTATAAACATATATGACACAAATTACGATCATGATTTTTCTGATCAACATTTTTTTGATGGGTTGAGATTGCCAACCTCGTGTCTAACCTTCTGCCTTCACTCGAACTGTGAACCAACAGTGATCGTAAAATGTCTTCACGAATAGTAAATCTAGTATCATAATATTATTCAATTAAGTACTCAATTAAGTAATATGTATATTCAGTTAGTTATTCATAACAAATCAGAAAAACATTAGTTTAATCAAAATAACACTTTATTTAATTCTATTTCAAAATGAAATAATAATGAACAAACTGTTTGGTATTTATATGAATGTAAATGTGATATATTAATAGTATAATGTCTTGGCATTAATTAATCATCACTGATTAATAAGAATCATTGTTTTCATATTGTTTTTGATAGATAATCAATAAGATCTGAGATCATGTTTTCTTTTTTTTCAATTCTCTATTAAAATACTTTTAATGAAGAAGAAATCTCAGCCAATAAGTTCAATGTAAATCCAACATTTTCGCTGAACAATCTGATCCCAACATTTTCAAAGAAATACACTGCAAGTTGAAAATAAAATGGTCACTTTGACCAAAACATCTTGAAAGTGTATTATCATGTTGAAAAAAAGTAATAATTTTCCCTGTTATTATTTTATTTTTCATTCATAGTTGAATTGAACAAATGATTAGATATCATAGAAACATTTTTGTATTGATCATAATTACTTTTCGTTATTATTGTTCGTTTTTTTTGGTATTTCTCATAAATACATTTAGTTGCTAAGGGGGAAAACGTATTATTTTTTTCATCCTATTTTCTAATTGGTCAAATTGGAATTCTTTTTTCTCCTCCTCCTCCTCCTCCTCATCATCATCATCATCATCATGATTATCACTGTACATTTGAATTTGTAATTTTCATAAAATGTTTTAATTGTTTCAATGTATTCTCTGATTCCATTTGATGTTGTATAAATGTAGTTAAAAAATTATATTCTATAATTGATTTTATATCTCTTTGTTTATTATCATGATGAATATTATGCAACCAATTGATTATCATAAATTGATTAAGATCAATACGTTGATGTATATCGATTTGTAATAACATATTAATGATTTGATATATTGATTTATCAATATTATATAATAATAATGAATGATTTAATTGTATAGAATTTGTTTTGATATCATTCATAAATGTATTCAATTCTTTATATTGATCAATAAATGGTAATTTCCCAGTCAATAATAAATACATAATAACACCAATAGACCATGTATCTAATTCCATTGATTTTTTCTTCCATAATTCTTTCATCATATAACATATATTGTCTTTTTGAATTACATTTATATCATCCATGGTTACTTTAACATGTATCATATATTCTGGTGACCAATATATAAATAATTTTGTATCATTATGATTACATAATATATTGATTTCTGTTAATACACTAAAATCTAATACTAAGGATAATGATTTAGGATGAAATGTTTTAAAGAATATATTATATGGTTTAATGTTACCATGGTAAATATGGTTACTATGTAAATAATTGACAGCTTCACATAAATATTTTATAATATAATATATATCTTCAATAGTGAATGTGAATCTTTGTTGAAACCATTCAAATAAATTACCGAATGGATAATAATTTGTTAATATAGTGAAATGATTATAATCTATGCCAATTTCATATGGTATAATAAGATGATTATTATTATTCAATAATAATAATTTAGATTCATGAAAACGTTGTAATAATTTGCAATGAAATATATTTCGAAAAATCTTCCTCCATAATTTTGTTATTGGCCATTGATTTAAATTAAATTGTTTACATATAATTTGTTTATTGAATGGTAGAATAATACCATAACGATATGAATCAAATTCATTTAATTGTATAAAACTAAAGGCAATTTTCAATGTCATTTTTTCCATTCTTTTTCTGGTTACTATGCAGAATGTTTGTTGATAAGGTATGAAATGAATAAAGAAGTGAAAAGATTTTTTTTAACTTTTATATCCATTATGAAGTTATATAACTCATATATATATATATATACACACATTATAATGAGTTGTGATTAATTCAATGTGATTTGAATTATTTTTAAAACAAACATTCCTGTATGACACATCAAATGACCTACTTAGTAATGCATGAGTACAGTGTATGTAGTGTGGATAGGTCTCCAAATCAACAAAAGCGGAAACGTCTATATCTATATATTGTTAGTAATACATTATATTTTTAATCAAATGACAATTGTATGATTATATCATGAGAGAGAGTTATATACAAATCTATTCATAACTGCAACATTTAATTGTGTTAATTATCCAACACTAATATACAACTAATTGATTACTAAATAAAACTGTATTTTTGTTTTTCTTTATAAATAAGTTTGTATTACTAGATTAGGAGGCTAATTAGTTTGAGTAATAGACAAATACAAACAATTAGAGTTTTGATCAAAATCTAAGGAGAATAAATAACACAATAAAAATTAATAATGTTATGTTGGATGCCGGCTCAGTGGTTTAGTTGATTAAGCGCTTGGCGCTAGACTGATAGGTCCTGTGTTCGAATATTGCGGGGTGCAGTATCGTGGATGAGCACTGCTGTGGAGTCCCATATTAGGACGAAACGGCTGTCCAGTGTTTCTAGGTTTTCCATGGTGGTCTAGCTTCAATTGACTCATGATTTCAATCAGTGAAATGTTATGATAGACAATAGAATATTTCGTAGTTTACATCATAAAATAGTCTTAGTTAGACAATGAAAAAACAAACAAACAACGTAATGGATAGTCGTTTCATTCTATGATAGGACTTCTAAATAGTGCTAATCCATATGAGGTAATAGATTTAGACAATTGAAAGACACCATACTAGAACTAAACAACTGTCCATCACTACACATAGTTTTTCGTCGTTATCTACCATCAAAATGTATCAAATTTAATGTTTGCATATCAATTTCTTTACAAAAAAGCAATATATATCGTGTCGATAAGTATGAGAATAAACAACATAGTGACTCATTAGTTATTAAATATCATGCCAAACATTAATTAACAATTCAATGTATTTGATAACATCTACTTATGTAACTGTGAACGAACCTGCTTATATATTTGTAGTCTATCCAACTTTTCTAAGTAGAAATTGAAATTGTTGATTGCCTATTCAAAATCCAACTGCATTGATTGGAAAACTAGGATTGATAGAATTTTCCAATAATTCATTATAAGCATTAAATAAACAATTTACAATATTATTACCACTGTTGTTATGCTCAACTTTGTCGATTGTAGTTAACCAAACACTCAGTGTTGGCCAATGCGACATTTCTCTAATTCTTATACAGGATTTAGCTACCACTCATGAATATCAAAAGTTTACAGATTGTAATGGTTGAAATAGATATGAAGTATAAATCACAACATCACAATAAAGAACTACGGGGAGAATGTAATAATTCATTATAAGTATTAAATAAACATTTTAATTGTTTAAAGATCCCCGTCATATTAAAAGACTAGTATTTGAACGAAGAATATTCTTTTCGATAAATTCTCTTCACGTTCTACATTTATATACCCAAATTAGTAATCCGAAAAATGACCAGGTTAAAGGCAAAGTACATCGTTTAGAGCATGTGAATTTAGGATTGTGATAAACAAAATACAATAAAATGGTTAATTATCAGTATGGGGGTTGTGGAGATTGTTAAGTTTTTGGTTGAGATCATCCACGATCCCGCACCCCGTGGATGCGCACTGCTGAGGAGTCCCATACTAGGACGAAACGCCCGTCCAGTGCTTCCAGGTTTCCAACGGTGGTCTAACATCAATTAATTCATGATCTCAACCAAAAAAAATTGTTAATGTTAATACGACTCATATAGAATGTTCACTTGAATCAGCTTATATGTTAAGTAAAATTTTAAGATTCATGATCAGAATAAATATGGGTCAAATAAGGTGAGAGAGAAATAATAGTGCAATTATAATTCGATCAAATAAGTAAAACGTAATACGGAGGGATGAATGCGAAGTGAATGAATCATGTATAGGGGGATTAATGATGTTTAACCAATAATAATAATAATAATAATAATAATAATAATAATAATAATAATAATAATAATAATAATAATAATAATAATAATAATAATAATAAAGAGTAATAATACGAATAATACAAAGATTTATGAATAAAGATAACAGGGACAATTACAATTGACTACGAAAGGTCATAGTCAAATTAGTTCATTCAATACTTAAGATTACGATTGATTAATTGACCTTGATTTTGGCCAGGGGAGGAGGAGTGGTTTCTTCATCCGGATGGCTATTGCTTCAGCCGTTTGAAGGACTTTCAGTCTGACCAATTTTGGCAAAAAATTACTTACCTTATAAATAATTGAAAAAGATTGGTTTATACTGGCACTATGACCGGTTTGTACTAAATGGGCCAATATTGAGCTGTTCACCTTCTTCATCAAACCTTTATTTAGCCACGCTGGAAGGTGTTCAGGAGCACGAAAATGTAAATTCCTAGAACTTCGACCAATATAACTCGCTCCACAGGAGCAGTTGAACTGATAAATACAAAATAAGGTCGAACAAGAGCTTACCACCTTGCATAATACTCTCAGGGAGAACGGCTACCCTAGAAAGTTTATAATTAAATATACGGTCACTAAGGCGAAAGTAGGCGAAATACAAACAGTGAAGAAGAAATCCCTGTTCATGCGTCTACAATTCAGAGGGGATGCGGCTAGCGAAATACTAACTCAGAGATTACGTAGGACAATACAAAAGTCTTTTAACGCCGGAGAACTACGATTAGTATTTTCAACGTGCCCAATGGTTACACCGAAGCTAAAAGATGAATTACCTAGAATAAACACCTCATAATATATTATTACCACTGTTGTTATGCTCAACTTTGTCGAGTGTACTTTACCAACCACTCAGTGGTGGTCAGTGCCACATTTCTCTAATTCTTATACAAGATTTAGTTATCACTCATTAATATCAAAACTTTACAAATTGTGATGGTCGAAATAGATATGAAGTATAAATTGCGACATCACACTAAAGAACTACGGAGAGAATATAACCGATAATTGATTAGCTCAATTTGAATGTATTAAGAGACGAACTCCTTCAAGAGTATACATAATAAATTTTATAAATAATAACATTTTAGCTAATAAAACTAAATAATTGAAGTGAGGTCAGGGTGTGAAGACATTTGAGTGACGCTGAAGTGATTTTGCTAATGTTCACCTACTGACAAGTGCGAGATGTGTGTTATAAACTAGTTAAAATGGTGGTTGGATGAATTCAACAGGAAATTCTGGACCTAGATATCGTTCTAATTGACACTCGTCAGCAAAGTGTAAATGTAATCTTGAGAAAACTGATGTTCCCTGACGGATTCCATCCCGTGTCACCCAGCTTCATATTTAGCTACATGACCATAGACTAACTGTGACAATGACTCACCCAGAACAGTGTCATCATTCCGACTTGTTCGATAGGATTCGATCTGCACTAAGATGGACCTGATATACATGAAATTGATCACCACCGAGTGATCAATCAATTGTTATAAACCAGTGTGAGGAATTAGAATTTCGATTTACAGTTGATGGTTCAACTTACGAATTAGATTTAGAATTTTCATCACGAACAGACATCAGCAAAATGCAAGAACTCCATTTTGCCAAATGGATGAATGAGGTACGCGTCAAAATACAACACGTCTTATCCTAAATCTCATTGGTTCATCTATAGATTATAGTATCACCACATGTGTTAACTTGAAATGCTTCACAACCATAAATAATTAATAATGCTGAAATGAACAATAGAGAAGCCGATCATCTTTCTATCTAGAAAATTGACTTTGAATTCTTAGACCTCAGGTTAAGTTGCATAAATATTGAATAGTATTACAGTTAGCATGTCAGTTGTTGATTACGTTTTGTTATGAAACAAACAAACAAATAAAAAAATTATTGAACATTTTGCTTATAATTAATTAATTATTTAATGAAATCTTCACGAATTTCAGATCAATAAAAGCAGTGCAGAATAAGGAATTGATAAATCGGTTGTTGTCGTTTCAGTGGGTGACACGTTGTGGTACTGTGAACACGTACCTGATGAGTCACAAATTGGACGGAATTGGTTTCGTAGATTCCACTGGCAGACACCAAACAACCATACTAAAATTATCTTGTTATCTAATATCACTATTCAGACAATCAGTTCAGGGTACAAGTATGCCATTAGGGACTGATCAATCAGATTCGTTATAACGAAGTACGGGTAGGTTCAAACAATTATGTGTCAAGGTCTGGTCAACGCAGCTTCAGTTGTACAAGCTAGTGGATATCTGGATCATCTTTCTATCTAGAAAATTGACTTTGAATTCTTAAACTACAGGTCAAGTGGCATCAATATTGTCTAGTATTATTGATATCGTGATAATTGTTGACTAAGTTCATATGTAACTTCGTCGGACTGAAATTATTACTGGTGGCATCAAGACCATATTTAACATCTCATCAATTTATATCGTGTAGAATGTTAATTGGATGTTCTCTCAATTCGATAATCACTGTCTCATTTATTGAACTGTTAAGTGGATCAGGCTAGTATGCATTACCTAATTTGAACTATGATCAGATCAAAAGTCGTATTGTTGTTTAATGGTATTTAATGGTCACTGACCGTTTTCATTTGCATCAACATTATAAAACAACGTTGGGTGAGTTGATCAGCTTTAACGTGCACTACTTGAGAACACAACTGATGTTGCACACACATCTAAATGAAGGTTTGTTTTTACATTAATAAATTTTTGATTAACATTGTTTTCAATAATCGAGTTGAACTAAATGAATGATGTAATCACAATTCGACAATTTAATTGGTACGATGAATGACATGACTGAACAGAGAAAGAACACTTATATTTAGGAAGGTGAAACAACATTACTGATACAAGACATTTGAATATCACTATTGTCGTCAGTTGATCTTTGATTTGGGATATAATTTGTGAAACTAGTGAACATACAGAAGAAATAATGATGGATTAAATCAAATTCGCTAATTTGACTTGTATATTCGTGGAATATCTATTCATTGAATGTATTGATGATGAGAAGAATGCCTTGAAATAACTCATCTATAACCATGTTACTACACATTAATGACCGGATTTGATGTTGTGATGTACATGCATCACACACAAGAGGACTTCATTTTATGAGCTAATCAATGTGATGTAAGATAGGGAGTCCTGTATCTGGAGGACAATTCATTTCATTAACATCATTTAAGCAT